AAAAAAAAAAAAAAAAAAAGAGTTATACATCTATGTCCCTTGCACTGGAGGAAGATTCTCCACCTGTGCACAGCAGAGCCCTCAGGTCCTACAGGGTGTGGCTTTGGGAGGGGTCCAGGAGGAGAGCATCTCAGCCCCCCCCCATTTGACCCCTATTTACTTTACACACTGAGACTGTCCAATGTCTCATTTGACATCTCCCCAGCCTCTGAGGTGCTTAATTAAAAAAGAAGAGAATCTATAAATAGTTCTGGAAAAAAAAAAAGTTTTTTGTTTTTTTTTTAAAGTCTTTTAAGGTTCTAGTCCTTTCTCTGACTTATTCAGAGTATGAGCCTGAACAGGGCTCTTCTTTCTCTCCGGTCTTAGAGCTTATAACTGGGAACCAGGCAGGATTGGTGCGCAGGCCTGGCCACTCACCTCTTCAGGCTCTCAGCTCTTACTTAGTTAAGTGACCCAGAGAGACCATCAGGGCCACCTGTCTAGCACTTCCTCCCGCTGCCTCCTGCCCACTTGGCTAGTGACTCCCAGTCCTCTTCACAACATTCCCTTGGGGAAGTCTGAAACTTCATGGGAACTCAAATGGCCCTTTTTGAGTGAATACGGACACTGCATCTTAGAATATCAAAATGGGATTTACCACTTTCCCTAAAATTTTAACCACTATAGGAGATAGGGAAGAACTTTCGTGCTTCATTTCCTAACAGAGAGCATTATAACCAATTTGTTGGAGGAATAGTTACCTAAAGAATCATAACCAAACACATGTAAAACAGGTCATTTTAGGTATTTGATTTTTTTTTTCTTCACTCATTGCGAAGAATTTGGAAGGCTTGGTAACTATTTGGTGGTTTAATGAGTATTTATTTATTCAATTATATATATATTTATATATTCAATAATATATATATAAATTACATATATTCAATATATATATATTTTAATAATATATACATAAATGGACAATGAATACTAAAAAGAGATTAATATTCTAGTTCTCATATATTTGCCATGTGTCCTAAGCCCACTATATGTTATTTCAGGATTCATTTTTATTTTATCAACCAGTGAACACATCAAGATTCTGCAGAAGAATATACAGTGCCCATTTGTTCAAAGCTCTGCTGAATGGATGTGGGAAAGCATTTTCCTTCCCTTCACCAGCTCATATCCACAGCTGATTGAAAGCTCAAAACAGATCATTTAGAATTTTGGCACCTGTAGTTGAAATGCATTATTGCTTGTAGAGCATTTCCTCCACCGGTTGAAATGTCTCCTTCAAATCCTGGCAGAAGTGGTATCACAATATACACCCGGTATCTCTGGCCTTCCCTGCAAAAGTCAAATGCAGAGAGATTCACCCAAAAGAGATAAAGCATCCATTTAAAATGACATCTCAGCAGTCCACCTTATTTAGAGGCTGAGCAAATGGCTTCCTATAACACGTTTCAGGTTCTATCACATTTCAGGGCATCCTGTTGCATAAGAAGCCAGAAGATGCTATCCAAGCTAATAATTCATTGTTGTTGTTGTTTGCCATCGAGTCGGCCCCGACTCATAGCGACCCCTCCTTGGGTTTCCGAGGCAGTATCACTACGGAAGTAGGATTGCCCAACCTTCCTTCCGAGGAGTGGCTGGTGGGTTTGAACCGCCTGCCTTCTGGTTAGCAGTCAAGTGCCTTAGCCACTATGCTACCAGAGCTCCCAATAATTCATTAAAACCTGAAAAAATGAGCTGCAGTTGGCAGTAAAGTGGGAATTGTACCGACTGTCTCTCCATAGCATGATCCTCCACTGGACAAAATTCAGAGTGATCCAGAAGTCTTGCTTGAATTCCATGGAAGAAGGTTATAACAAAAATTTTAAAAAGATGTTATCTTAATAGTTATATCTTTAACAAGTTGCAGCCAAAGCATAGCTCAGAGCCTGGTGAATACCAGGCATTCAGTTATTAATTGTTGAGTAAATGAATTCCTATGGCCTAGATCTTGACTGCTAACCAGAAGGCTGGTGGTTCAAACCCACCAGCCACACCTCAGAAGGAAGATGGGACAATCTACTTCCATAGTGATACTGCCTCAGAAACCCAAGGAGGGGTTGCTATGAGTTGAGTCCGACTCAGCGGCACATAACAACAACAACAGATCTTAGGAGCAAAAATACAGACTGAACCTAGTATACTTACCAATATAGAGGTTATAACTTAAAGGGAAATGAAGTCCTGATACATGCTACAACATGGAATATTGTATGATCTCACTTACAAGAAATATCCAGAAGAGGCAAATATACAGAGAGCAAAATTTATAAGCAGTTACTGGTGGTTAGAGGGTTGATGGGGGCAATGAGTGAGAGTCATCACTTAGGGGCACTGAGCTTCTGTTAAGAGTGATGGAAAATTTTGGAAAGAGATAGTGGTGATGGTTGCATAATATGATGGTTGTAACTAATGTAACTAAATTGTACATGTGAAAAAAATGATGAAATGGCAAATGTCTTGTTATATATACTTACCACAATAAAAAAAAGAAAATAAGGGGAAAAAAAGTCATCTCTGTTTAGAAACTCTGATATTTCGGCTGCAAAATGCTATGCTGGGCTTTTTAAGAATTCTGAGTGACTGATGTCTATTTTTAAATCCCAGGCACATGTAACACAGTATTTCTTGGCCTACTCTCCCAAATGGTTAATGACAACCTTTTAAGGAAAGGAATCCTACTCCATAATATAATGATAGATGAAGAAAATGTGGCTTTCTACTTTGACTCTTATCCAGAAAGCCAGAAATTTGAAGAATTATGTTCAAACATATACAACTTATTTGGAGGCAAAAGCTGATAAAGTATTTGTAGTACAGTGAGTTAGTTGGTGTGGATCTTCTAGACATGGTATTTCTGACTCCCATCAGAAAACTGGGTGGAATTATGCAAATGTAAGGTGCCTGTGGCCCACCAAGGGGATTGGATAACTTGTTAGTAAAGTATCCCCTCCTTGGGTTTCTGAGGTGGTATCACTACGGAAGTAGATTGCCCAACCTTCCTTCCAAAGAGTGGCTGGTGGATTTGAACCGCCAGCCTTCTAGTTAGCAGCCAAATGCCTATGCACTACAACACCAGAGCTTCCTTGTGGAGGTGGGACCATGGAAATAAAGGTATATGGAACCCTAGTGGGGAGGTCTGGTGGCATAATACCTAAGGCATTTGACTGCTATCCAGAAGGCTGGGGGTTCAAACCCATCAGCCACTCCTTGGAAGGAAGGTTGGACAATCTACATCCATAGAGATACCACCTTGGAAAGCCAAGGAGGGGTCGCTATGAGTTGGATTCAACTTGAAGGTAGGTGAGGAACCCTAATGTGGGGATTGGTCAGTTTTGTCATTTTGCTAGGCTTGAAATGAGCCCTCCCAGAGGCAGAAGGGAGGAATCTCACTACCATCAAGACATGGAAGAGCTGGGAGTGGAGTGCATCCTTAGACACAAGATCCTTGTGCTGAGATGCAGAGAGATGGCATAGAGACGATGGCAGCAGAACTGAGAGACTGGCACAGACAGAGCGATGGGCTTGCCAGCCCACAAAGCATGAAAGTGTTAGGGCAGGAGGCTTGCTGGGAGAGTGGGGTGCACCTAGGTGCATCCATGGGCAGAGCTAAAACTGCTTTGTAACACTTGTCAGAGCAGGGCAGAGGCCAGGCTGAGAGGCCAGCGGCCAAAAAGAGGCATGAGTTAGGGCATGGCTGAGGGGAGGTTGTCCTGATCAAAGAACTGCATCCTGAGCATTCCTGCCCTTGAACTGTAACCTGCTACTTCCCTAATAAACTCCATAATCATGAGTATTGTCTGTGAGTTTGGTGTGGCCACTGCAATGAATTATTGAACCCAATAGAGAAGTAATGAGTGCTGTGGGAGGGAGAGTTGGTGTGAGAATTGGTAATAAAGGTTAGAGGGTGGTGGTTAGAGGGTGGTGGCTTGTTGGACCTCATGGGAATTGGCATTGGGTTGCTGATGGTGATTTTCTTCCCACCTTGTGCTGCCCCCATAAACGACAAGAAGAGAGAGCCTGGAAATGAACTGTGGTATCTATTGTGGTCCATGAATCTCAACTGAATATCTGAGAGGGCTGCATTCACACAAAGGTACAGCTAGCGGTTACTTTTCAAGTCTGATTCTATTTCATCTTTTCTTCATACCGTCTGAAGCTCAGAATTTTAAACGACAAGATTTTCTTTCATATGAGTATTATTTTTATGCCAAGGGGGGTCTTATTTTATTTCCGAGGACTCTTAATGTTGATGTGGTTATTAGGATCTGTGAAAAAAGTGAGGTTTAGGGCAGAAGTGATGAACAGGGAACAGAGTTTGGGGGCCTGTGAACTTTACCGCAGTTAGAAACAAGGATTTTTAAGTAGGTTGTTGTAATGGCATGGACTAATCACTAGATGGCAAACACAGTTTGAGTTGGGGAAAAAAATTTTAAAAGAAAATAAAGTAAGCTGAATATAAAGTTCTCTGGTGAAGGTGACTCATATACTTCAATGGTAAACAGGACAGAGGAAAAGAAGAACAGAAAGAAGACTTAATCTATTTCCCCCTGCAAGCATCAAAACCAATTGAACTGGACACTTAAAATTTGACAACATCTGGCCTAACTGTTTTTCTGGAATCAACTTCCACTCCGATCCACTATCCCCATACTGCAGCGACAGGATACTACTTGCTCTGCTCAGAGGGGCACCTTTCTACTTATAAAGCTAGGCTGCTCTTCTGACAGCCTAGAATGCCTTTCTTCACCTATAAAAATCCTATCTACCCTCGAAGATCAGCTTAAAGGCTACTTTCTCTGTCAAGCTACTCATGATCTTCCGACCCAAGGCTGGAATGTCTGCTCAGCACCCTTGTTGCTTTTCCACAACACCGATATACATGTCTGCAGCCTCCCTATGTGATAAGCTCTTCTGAAGCACATACCTTTCTATTTTTGGCAGTGTCCAACAGAGGACTCTTGCACACAGCGTGCCCTCAGTACTATTGAAATGAAAGAAACTGAGGTGTCACTTTGGGAGGATGGGGTCAGGTTGGAAGAATGTTTCTGGGGAATCCACTAGTGGGAGAGATTAAGCTGCATCGGACATTAGGAAATAAATTACATATTTAATGAGTAATATATGCTCATGGTATAAAGTTTAAGAGGTAGAAGATTATACTGTGGGGAAAAAAAAAAAAAAAAACTCTTTCATTTGCTTGTCCCAACCCCCTGTTCCTCTCCCTGAAGGCAACTTCTGTTACTAGCATCTGCCATCTTTTAGAAATAGCCTATGAATTTGTAAGCATAAAAAAAGCAAAACCCAACCTCACTGCTGTCAAGTTGGATCTGACTCATAGCGACCCCTCCTTGGGTTTCTGAGGCAGTCACTACGGAAGTAGATTGCCCAACCTTCCTTCTGAGGAGTGGCTGGTGGGTTTGAACCACCAGCCTTCTGATTAGCAGTCAAATGCCTTAGGCACTATGCCACCAGAGCATATATATGCATTTTTTCCTTCTACATAAATGTTCTTCACTTGACTGACTCATAGCTACCCCATGTGTGTGAGAGTAGAGCTGTGCTCCACAGGGGTTTCAATTACTGATGGTTTAGAAGTAGATCAGCAGGGCTTTCTTCCAAGGCACCTGTGGGTAGACTCAAAACTTCAACCTTATGGTTCACAACTATTTAACTTTTGGTTAACTGTTTGCAGCATCCAGGGATTCCACATTGTTCTGAAAGCTATTTTCATCATTTAACAGTATATCTTGGAAATCCTTCCATATCAGTTCATGAAGAGCTGCTCATTAAAAACAACAATAACAACAAAACAGCTACAGAGTGTTCTGTGATATGTTGTTGTTGTTACGTGCCGTTGAGTCGGACCCAACTCATAGTGACCCCACCTTGGGTTTCCGAGGCTGTATAACTATGGAAGTAGATTGCCCCATCTTCCTTCCTAGGAGTGGCCAGCGGGTTTGAACTGCCAGCCTTCTGGTTAGCCATTAAGTGCCTTAAGCACTATGCTATCAGAGCTCCTGTTCTGTGATATAGCTATAGCATAATATTTAAACTTGGTCTCTATTGATAGGCATTTAAACTGTTTCTAACTTTTTGCTATTTCAAAATAGCTATTTTGCTATTTACACTTACATGTTATTTTTCACATTTGATGGAAAAACATCTTAGAAGTGATATTGCTGGTTTTGAACACCAAGTGTTTATGATTCTGTTTGTAGGAAGTGGCTCCAATTTATCCTTGTACTTTTTTAAAAGCAAAAGTGACTTCAAGATCAAGTAATTATATGTTAATA